GGGGGGGGGGGTGAGGGGGCATGCGAAGTGGAAAGTACCCACCACGACGGAGGGTCGGCGCTCGGTTTGGCGGGGGGATGCTTTGATGGATATGTGTGCGCCCCGCGGGTGTGTGTCCAACTGCATCCATCGGACCCAACTGTGGGAGACGACCTCGGTGAAGATTGGGCGGTTGAAGGGCTTGGCTCCGGCGATGAGGGCACCTAATTCCACAGCGGCTGCTGCTTCGGAAGCCGAGGATGGCTGATGAAACTCCTAGCCCCTGGGAGCAGAATGGGACAGCCTGCAGCTGCCTGCTGTTGTTGTTGTTTTTTCGTTCTTGCGGCTGAATCTTGCCGGAGGAGGGGGGGAGGGGGGGCAGACCCCCGGAGCTCGTCAAAAGTTTTATTCGAGTACTTGACTTTCGTCTTAGGATTTGGTTTTTACACCGCTAGGAAGCAGCCGCTAACAACCTTCTTGAAGGTTTGTCAGTCCATGTGTGGTGTCTTCGCTGACGTACTCGACGTACAGAGAAGATGCTGCGCCAAAGGGAGCAACGCGGTGGGGAGTCCGCGTGTAGTTTTGAATGGGTCCGATCGATGACTTGGCAACATCGGAAGAGAGCTGTTGTTGACCATGCAGCGCGAAACGTACGAAACAGTAGTTTCACACGGGCTCCCCTAGCCCCTTGCGGCTGCAAAGGCTTGAACGGCACAAACAAAGCAACGGTACTCGGCGGCTGCTCATCGCAGGGGCAGGCATGAATGAAGTGCCGCCATACATGTGGCCGAGCGAGATCGTGCTACCTATTCCTCGTGCACGCACACTTGGGGGTGAAGTATGCTTTTATTTGCTGTCGTGTTGTAGTTTCCGACAAGGCTGAAGTTACTGGGGCACCATGTGGGACCGGGGACGACTGGGGTTGTTTTTCCTCAGGATGCTTTTGAGCAACAGCAATAGCATGCGGAGCAACAACAATAGCAGTTGAGGACCAGCGATAGCATGTTGAGCACCAGCGATAGCGTGTCGAGTAACAGCAGACATGTTGAGCAACAGAAATTGCAGCCCCAACGAGGATGTCGGGCATACCCAAGGACAAGCAACGCGTTTTTGGGCTTGTTTTGGGGTAGGGATTGTGAGACACGTGAAATGGGCATGGGCGGGGAGTTTGGGGTTGTTTGACATCGAACCAGTCTTGGTCCGGGTATGAATGAACCCCGGGGGAATCAGTTGCAGTGCTGCCTCGGGTGCCATTCGTCCTTTAGTTCCCCCGCATTAGAGACACGCAGGCGGTGCCTACGACATTTCATATTTTTCATGTAAAATTGTAAATAGAATGAGGGGCCGGGGGGTAGACGGGAAAAGATATAGCGGAGCCTAGCGAACTCGACCATGTCTAGATGGTCCGAATTCCCCAGGCGCGTAGTGCCACCGACGGAAGTAGATATCGTAACTAGTTGCAGCGGCAGTGACAGCGGCAGCAGTAGTCGTCGTCGAAAGCGCTGTGACCAGCAATACTGTCGCTGAGGTCGAGAAAATTGGGCGAAGTATCATTTGTTTTGTCTAGTGTTACTTGGATGTTGCGTTCACGTGGGAGCATGCGGGGCGGACAGGAGAGTGCTCAGGGCGGTCGAAAGCTGTGGTAACTGCCCGCGTTGGTGTGCGTTTCGCATGGGAACAAGAACGCAGCTGGCTCCCTCCCCGAGTCCGTTGCTTGTGTTCGTTCTGCAAGCCGGTGCTCGGGTTTGCCGAAACCTCCGTTGTCATCTTTTTCGCGATGAAAAAATGTATCACGCCCTCGTCTGGAGTACGTGGGGCAGGAAACGGCAGGAAACCTTATCGCATTGATTTGCATTTTCCTCCGTCCGCCGGGCAGAGCGGCAATCGTTATTGTGTTTTGTTTTGTTTCTTTATTATCGTTGATCCCGGGGGTTACGTATGTCCCTCCCCTTTCCCTTGTCCATCTCCCCCTTAGCTAGATAGTTTTGGTGAGTTTGTGCTGGTATTGGTCTTTTGTAGACAACTGTCCGGCCGCATACAATGATTGCTGATTGCAGAGAAGTGGGGTAGCCCGTTTTGTTGTATGACCTTGTGCGTTGAAGGTGTTCCTATGTGCCTGGCGTATCGTTGTCGTACGTGTAGACCCTGGAAGCAGTAATATACTAGTGTTTACGTGGATATCGATTCTATTGATGCATGTTGTGTGCAGCAGGGGAGGTTGACCAGTCCGCGCCGCTTATTCCATGGCCTGTCCATCACGGTACGAGCGTCACGATTTTTTGTGCTCGATACTTCGTCCGGGTGGGCGCCCATACTGGTACTTCGGTCGCTTTTTTGGGAACAATCAAGCGAAGGTGGCGTTTTGCGGACGCCCGCCACCGACAGTCCTGTCGAAAAAAGACTTTTGAGTACTTGTATTTTGTCGATGAGCCCTCACATCATGACGCTACAATTTTGCGAACGTCATTTGGTCAGTTGATATTACGGGGTCAGGCTTCGACTGCTCGTTGGGAACGAACCTGGTATCTCCGAATGAATGGCCATTGAGGCTGAGTACTCGTATCATACATGTACGTAGCATTTTACTTTGTACGAAGATGAAAGGTGTACCCTCTTTTGGGGTGAGTGAGTGGCTTGTTGTGGAGTCGACGTCAGTTGGATCAGGACGGATATTCGAAGGTACCTAGCGGACACCGGAACGGTTTTCATGTGTGTGAAGACAACAACATCCGAAGATCGATCATTGTGATCGTTGTGAGGGGGTGTGTTATTCCTTGGCAAAGAGATCACAATACCATGGTTCTTTTTGGAAGGCATTCTCCAGAGACAGGGCGGTCACAGGGTACTAAATGTACATCTCCACCGTGTCTACATACATGCCTCTTCGCGGCCCTGCGTATCGCTTGGGACCTGACCAAGGGGCAAGAAGCATGCGGCGTACAAATTGAGTACCTGCAGCTAGTACACGGTCAGTAAGTAGCTTAGCACGGATTGGCTGCCAAGCGGCTGGTGACTTGGGGCCGATCTTGCGGATACATGTCACCTGACGGCGGCCCAACAAACAAGAGTCAGCATCACCAAATGACCTTTGGGCAGTCCACGTAACTACAGTATGTGACCCCGGTTGGTTCGTCTAGCTAGTAGAAGTGGAGGATAGGGGCCAGAGGGGCAGACGACAGAGCCCAATGATGGGAGAAACAAGAAAAAAGTCTCATGACAGAGTCGAGGCGATGTATCACCTACAACTGTAGTATCTTCTTAATATAGTTAAAGATCGACTTAGACTAGTGCATGTAGTCTACCTGCGCATGCCGGGTGAAGACGATAGTACAGTTTCTTATCGATGAGGTCATGAGGTGTATTTACTGCTATGTTAGCTGAGCCCTCGCTCAACTACAACCATCCGCTTTGGTCATCATGTGTCGCTGCCGACTCACATAACATAAATTTATCAAAATCTTCTGCGCCCCCGAGGATATTTTGTTCGTACCGACTGCATGGTACGATTACTAGGATGGTCTATGACGACAGGACTCCAACGCGGAGCCTGAGAGAGCGAAGAGGAGGAATATCACACGGGCGTGGAGGGTGTAGGAGGATCATGTGTGCGAATATCACATCTGTGGAGGGTAGATGTCTCAGACAGCGAGTGCAAATATCTGTGGGGGATGTGGATTTTGTGGCGCAAACACGGACCCCCCATACGAGACTGTCGGGTTATCCTGTTGGTATGCATCGTGCCGCAGCAGGAGCATAGCCAGCTTGAGGAGGGAGACAGAAGCGAAACGTGCGTGCCTTCTCTCCACCCCCCCATCTTTCATTCCACGCGTCGTGCCTCTCCCATATATCGCGTGCGACTGCTCTTCATTTTGATACAACACTTCGCTGGGCGGAGTTACCAAAACTGAAGTCATGCCGCGTTCCTCGCGTTACGAAGACCGTGCCAACATCCTGCGGGGCTCCGAAGACACGATCTTCAGACTGGTGTGCGATAGGGCCACGCCAGAACAATGGGCGGAGTGGCTGAGGGCTCCGTTAGAGCACGCGGCGGCCACAGCGGACCATGACCTGGTGAAGAAGCTGCTGAACGCCGGAGCGAACGGGAGCACGGGTTGGGTGGGTTGCGATGGCAAAACTCTGTTGCATGCAGCCGCGGAGGGCGGTAACGCGCAGGTGATCATGGCGCTGCTGAGGGCAGGGGCGGCAGGGGACAAGGACACCGCAGCCTCGTACAAAAAGCGAACCCCGCTTCATGTTGCGGTTTCTGGCGGGAAGGAGGCTGCTGCGAAGGCGCTCATGATGGCCGGAGCGGATGTACACTCTCTCGACACCGACCAGGACACTCCGCTTCACTTGGCCATCGAAGGCGGTTACGTAGAACTTGCCGAGGACCTACTGCTCAGCGGAGCTGATCCCAATGCCAAAGGTTCAAGAGGCTCCTACCCTGTTCAGCTCGCTGCTGGCCGTGGCCAGGATGAGGTAGTCTCGGCCTTGGTGCAAAAGGGAGCGAGCCTGAACTGCCTCGATGCGGTAGGGAAGACCCCCCTCTACCTGGCGGTTGTCGAAGACCGCGTGTCCACGGTGAAACTTCTCCTGGCTTCGGGTGCCGACGCAAGCTTTCGCCTGGCCAATGCGACGACCGTCCTACACGTAGCCGCGGAGTATAACAAAGCCGGTGCCATCGGAACTCTCATTGAGGCTGGGGCTGATATCGAAGCCCGGAGCAAAAGCGGACAGACCCCTTTGTGGTTTTCGGCCTTCTACGGCTCGTACACCGCCATGCTCACGCTACTGCAACTCGGAGCCGGCGTGAACTCGGTAGGAACCTCCGGATCGACACCCTTGCACGCCGCGTGCAAGAGAGGCCACGCAGACGTTGCACGCCTGCTGTTGAGATGGGGCGCAGACGAGACCATCGTCGACAACCGTGGCCGAACTGCCTACCAGAGGTTGCCAGCGATCGACAACGTGGTCGAAGAATACCGCCCGGGAATCGAGCGTCTGTCCAAGGTGCTGGCACGCGCCCCGCAAGACAGAGCCTGGTGCCGCCGGGGCTTCCTCGTCATGTGCCGTGCCCGTCCAGACAAGGTGCGACTAAAAACAGCAGAGGTCTTAGATCCGACAGCGGCTGGCCACCAGCCACAGGAGCGAGACGAGGGACTCGTTGGTTTGGCAGCACGGCTGATGAAGCTATCCGACGAGGACTTGTTCCGCAAGGTCGTGGGACTGCTGTAGAGCGAGCAAGGTCAGCCCTGTGCCGGTGTATGTTTGCACCCCATGCTACATGTAAGGAAGTTTCAGTTTCCTTTTTCAGGCGTCAGCCTCTGCTGCTGTATATAGGTTACCCCTCTCACTCGTTTTAGAGATGTGCGGTCATTTTCAAGTGCTGGACAGCGTTGACGAGTGTATTTGTGACTTGTGGGAAGTGCAGTGCTGCTGTGTCATTTCGTTGTGGTTGTTTTGGCCTTTGCACTGCTGTAGCCGTGCTTCAATACGTCCGTCGCCGTTGGTCGACTTTGCTTTGCCAACCAGACAATGCAAGCGGGTGTGCCACCGGATTCGAGAAAAGCATGTCCGGGTGTACGCATCTATCATATCGCGATTGTGGGAAGCGTCCACCGATAGAGCTTGCGTTTTATCAAGTTCGCCATCTATTCTACACGTATCTCGGCAAATCCGTACAGCATGCCAACGCGCGTCGCAACGATGGCACTATCTATCTATCCTGCATCGATAAATGGGAAACACTTGCAGGCCACCAGACATCCACAGCCCAGCCCATGCTGATCTTTATCTTTCCTGTGAAGGTTGTGTCATGGAGACGGTGTGGCATCCCTAACAGGCTCCAGGCTTGTTGGTGCGTGCTACAGCTGCTTCTCCTCCTCGGTATAGCGGTGCAGTGCTGACTGCACGTGGTTGACGCTACGTGGGGATAGGGTTAATGACTTCTAGCTTGCAGGCGACTTGTATCAGCCCGCGCTACTGGCAACCATGTTTCCCTACTGTCACCCGTCCCGTCTGTCTCTGCAACTCTCGCATTGACAGACGATCAGCTAGTGCATCGGCGGCGTTCTTGGTTGCTGGAGAGCATGGCAATTGTGGCAGACTGGGCGGGAGAGCCACACTTTTTTGCTCAGCAGTCTTCGGAAATAGGCACAGCGTACCGATGCGCCCGTCAGTTAATGTTCCTGACAAATTATCGCGAGGCCAGCGCGAACGCGCGCTCGAACTTTTTTTTTTTGTGTATATGACAAGGGAGAGAGAACGTACTGTATTGCTGCTTACGAGATTGGGGTAGCACGGGCCTGCAGATCGTATACGTGGGCGTTGGGGAGCGACCGTTTCACCGACGTGGTGTTCGAACGGGAACAAGCGAGAGCGAAGGACTCGTGGTGGTTTGACTTTTTTTTTCTTGTAAAATTTTCCTCGTTGCTCTTAACCACTGAAAATGTACATTTTTTAGACCCTTGTACGTGTTGCCGCCCTATTTTTAGTTCTTCCCCCGCCCCATGCACGACTATGAGTACACCCCCCCCTCCCCCCGCCCCCCCTGCTAGAAGTGCATTTTTTCCATGATCGATGCCCGGTTGGTTTATTGATCGTTCTTTTGTTGGTCTAGATAGTGGAAAGGTTGTGACCGTGTAGTTGGGTAGAGTGTGAGGATATTTCGAAGCCCGTTAACAAGGACGGGCGTACATCTTGGTTTGCCCTGTGTTTTTGTATCGGTTATATCGACTGCTTGCATTGTTATCGGTCCGGAGAAGCATGGGCTTCGTAAGTCCTTGCGTGTGAATAAATACCATGGGCGTGGGCTGCTGTTTGTCCACTCTTTTCTTCAGTTTGTCCAAACGTAGGTGTTGTGGATGTCTTGCAAACACTTTGTACACATGATTGGGCGGTGAGACTCTTGCTCCCTTGTACAAGATGGATTGTAGCTGTTTTGGGTCTGTCGATCCCGGACATTCGGTGATGTGTGCGTGATTTTTCGCTACCCGCAGATGATCTGGGTCGTAGGGGTTGCCTTCGGTTGCTTGTATCTGGTCTGCCCGACAGCAGGTATTTAGTACCCAGCCAGCGCCTGCACATTATTCATGTAGGTGGAACGTGTTCCTCCCTGGTAGGCGATGGTGTTGGTGGCTAGCTCTCGTTGGGTCTGTCGATAGTAGTTTTTTTTTATCCAGTCGAGAAATGCCGATGTGTATTTTGCGGGCGTGAGCAGTGTGTTCGCTCTTATTAAGAGGATGGAGTTATATTATACTGCTCTATCGCTCTCTTGATATCCACTCGTCTATTACGGGCTGAGTTGTTGCGCCTATTAACTACATGTAAAGGTTCAGTGTGGGGTGTAGGGGGTGCGGTGTTTCCCCTGCCACAAATGATGACGTGTTACAATCCGTGTTTTTTCTCGCCTAGCTGGCTCTCCGGAAAACCAGAAAGCTTTGCGAACCGTTCAGAAATTCGCGTCCGGTGGACAGGAGGGGAAGAGTAGCCCCTCCATCGCAAGTCTGTTTGTTGTTGAGCATGTCCTGCATTCGGACTGCGTGTACTACCTCTTGACTTGGAGGATTTTTACCGGGTCAAGCTCTCGACATGATAGAATGTCGTGCCCGAAGGACTACTTCCGACAGCAGGTCTCAAAATGTCACCGCGTCCAAGATCTTGACGCATGTCGAAATGGTGCACGATTGAGGGAAAACGCATCATTGTGTGGGGGCACCTTTCGGTGATGGTTGATGGGGCTTCAAACCAGTCTCCAATAGCCGTTCACTATGTTTGCGCGTGGAAAGAGAAACTCGTGCGCTGTGAAGCAACGGCGCGAAATAACGTGGCTGAGCCCACAAGAATGATGTGGAAGCACAACCCCGAGCAAAAAATGGAAGAGACGCAGCAGTGATTTAATTGACGCAAAAGGGTTTACACATCAATACGCTGGGTACGAGGTGGACCAAGGGCTTATTCAGGGAGCCGTTGTGGACACCATCAACAAAAGGTTGTACATGTGTCAAGAAATGCTTCGAGTACACTTTGAGAGGGAGCTGAGAGTTTCCAAAGACTGTGGCCTGCTCGTGGAATACTCAGCCACTGGCTACTTGTCGTGTTTGCCATGCGGACTGGAAATGCGTACCAAGATGGGGTATCACAATGGAATCCTCTCCCGTCATCGGAACCTAAATGTCCCCAAACGGTTTGACCATGGAGATACTTCTCTTGATGGTTTTGCACACACAAAGAGTACTAGAATCGGTCATTGGATGAACACTAGTTTCTACAGTTATTCTCCGAAAGATGGAGTGTGCTACAAGAAAATGTACATGAGGTGTGGCAATCAGACGAAGGTTGCTACATGGTTTCCAGGAATTTCATTGGGGGTTTGCTACCGCACACTTGTCCCTCAAAAACGACAGACCACATTGTACGGTGTGCGACAGGTCAATGAGATCCGCGATCTCTGTGGACTTGTCACCATGAAAGCATTTTTTTCCACAAGGCCGCACTTACTCAGGTTCATAGGAGTTAACAACGCCTTGAATATCATGAACTAGAACACCCAATTCCTGCTAGTACAATTGGTGCCACCGTAGTTAGCCATCTTGGAAGATGCCGCGCCCGCGACTTTCTCATCTTCGGCTATGAAGGCGTGATGGAAGCGACGTACACCCACACAGAGAGCACATTGTGGGGGTAGGGGAACGCTTGCACCGCCAGCGCGAACTGCACATCCGGATGCCTGGCTTCATGAATGCCCGTGGCGCGTACCGTCTGCACAACGCTGTCCACGTCCACAAACCCGGAGTGCAAAGGGAACCCTGGGAGCGAAAACAGTGTCGCACGGAGGGGTGGGCGCACACATGTTTCGCATGCCGTATCGGTTAGACCATGGAAAGGGGGGGGGTGTAGATTATGCACCCATGATATATGAAACTAGCCAGCCATCTCGTTGGCCGGTGGTCTCTGAGATAGTGAAGCTCGAAATAATCATTGCGTCGATAGTTCAAAGTTCAAAGTTCTTGCAATATACTGTCGGTGCACCGCGGGTGGTTCATGACCTACGACGGCCCGGTAACACCCATGGTGACCCATGATGACTCGTGACAAGTCGTGACGGCTGTTGAACCCACAATGACCCATGCGTGGTCGCGGGTCGTAGTTTGGCGTGATGGGTTGCCGATGGGCCGAGAGCTAGGGCCCAAGGGCCGTTCAACGTCTTTGACCACAAGAGGAAAGTCCATGGGTCGGACACATGGTACGTTCCATGGGACAACGACCTCATTGACTACTGGTGTGTGCCCATTGGTGGTCAATGGGACGTCCCATGGGCGGCACCAATAACGAGCACACCCAATTTTCGTAAATACAACGTGTCCTCGTCCTTGTTAAGATTGCACTCGTCGCACCTAAGAATGCGACCTGAAAAAGTGGGGAAGACAACCAAAGAGATAGTATCAAAATGTAGCTGGCTCAAGAATATTTGCTCACCGACGATATCTCTGTTTCGCATGGTGTTCTCAAGGCGCCGACGGTGCTCGTCCTTCCCCATCTTCGCTCCACCCTTTTACACCATTTTTACAGGCGGCGGAGGAGACGAAAACAACAGTGATTGCGGTTCGAGAACATTGTGCTAGCTAGCATGAGATACAACACCTCGTTTCAACCTCATGGAAGTTAAAAGAGGGGCGAGCAAGTTCGATCGCATTAGCTCTGGACAACCCCACATCTTCAAGGGAGGATGTAGAAAATGTGTACACGTGGCATCTCGGGACGGTGATGTCAGTGGCGCATTGCATTGCATGAAAGGGTTGCTCGTTGCAACGAATGGCCAACGCGAATAGATTGTCTTGTTCGTCAACGGAAACTACCAATCTCGCTTGGAGCTTTTGGCCCTTTTCCCTTATCTACCAAGACTCTACCGACTCGTCGAACACGCTTCCTCACGGTTAAGGCTTGCTTCTCCAGGAGTGGAAGTAGCTCGGCAAGGCGGTTAGACACGTCGGCGTTGAAGGCTGTATGTGAGCGCTTTGACCGCCATCGCCTGGCGACATACGTGGCGAGAGTAAAGACGACGCTTTCTGTACATTGGGCAGGGTTGTGGGGAAGTATGGGATGGAGTGAACACGTTTATCCAATAAAAAGTACTAGCGTTTGAACAAATCGGTCTCTCAGAGGAATAGGAGTGGCCCAGTGAGGCCTTCAGGATATATCTTCTTTTGCTTTCGCTCTCCCACTACCGTACTAGAGAAGGCATTGGGAGGGCGAAAGCGTCTAGAACGGAATAAAACAAGCGCCGCGTGGCCAGGAAATGTTAAACCATGTGCGGTGCGTTGATTATCTCGATGACGCAGGAAGTCACCTTATATTTTACCCCTGGAATCATGGACGTTTTCGGATCGGCTGATGAGCGGTTGGGGGAATGTGAGATGTCACTCAAAGAGTGTATGGCGCAAGCGTGGGCCTGGTGACCGGGCCGATTCGACGCCGATAGACTCTGAAACGGCGGGGGCTGTGGTCGGACTGCCACCATGAGAAAAATCCCAATCGAGAACTTCCCCAAACTATGCGTCGTCTTGGTTGTTTCGAGCGTTCTCGGTCCTGGAAAACAATTCCTCGAAATCTTCACCTGATATCCCTTTTGAGCGCCTCGCGAACTAAATCCTCTACTTCATACACAAACGACTGCTGGGTCGGCCGATACGCGATGTCTTCCTGAATGCTCGTGTAGCCCTGTACAGGCGCCGGATTAGTAGGGCTTGAGAAGAAAGGAGTCCTTGGCAAGATTTTGACGTCATCAGGTGCGGCAAGGGGTGGGGAGGAGGGTGGAGGAGGGAGTGGACTACCAGGAGACGCTGATCCCGTGCTTTGATATCCAAACAAAATAACGACCCGTTCAACGGCAATTTTTCATGTAGATTTCTCGCTCAAGAAGTCTCAAAAGTCGCTTCAACTGCTTGGTGTCTGTCCGGGGAACATCTCAGTGAATGTCCTACCATCAAAACCAAGGGGGACAATGTCAAAATGCGCGATACGACAATACCGGGCGCACGGCGGAACACTGCGCTTTTCCAATCTATCCGCGGCTAGAGTTACAACCTCAAGCGCTTCCCACCATGTTTTTCTGTCGGAAAGGTCGAGATTGAGGTCGCACGGTCGGACGTTCCTGCGCAGACACGCCCACACATTCTCTTGGCTAGCCACGCAAGCAATGTCGATGAGGGGGCACCTGTACGACCACGTTCCATTGACGGTGGGGATTGGGACGGGACGTTTAAGCCCGGAATATTTCGGCAGTTGTGGTACAACGTTAGTCCCAATTGCACGTAACGGTGCTCTCGCGCTTGCCCTTCGAAGGGGAGCACGAATCTCAAGGACTACCTTGATGTCCTGTGTAGCTCGGGAAGGGGCGCACAGATCAGTAATTTACATGTCGCTTGAGCTGAACACGATGCGGTGATACAACGACCGCACTCTGCAACTACGAACCTGCGTTGGCGTAGGGTCTGCACCGAACACTCTAGCGGCACCTATGGTCCGGTGGTAGAGTTCATCGACGTTGGCGGTGCTAGTCAAACGGCTGCCCTGTCGAGGTTTCTCACCTAGAGTCGCGTGCGTCGAAGCCCTCGGCAGTGGAAGGTTTCCAGATTGAAGTCGTTCGTGTCTCGCCGAACCGGCTGAGCTCTTGTACCATGACGTACACAGTATCGCCTTCGGGGACCGCCCGCCCACTCACGATGTACACCTTGATGCCGGTCAACGTGAGGATCAAGCGAAAAACGCCGAATTATGTTGTGGCTGGAATTTGTTCTGCCGACACCCAGCGCTTTGGAATATTCAGAACGTACGCATGTGTCTGAGATACCGCAATCGAAAACATGGAAGTCACGTTTAAAGGGCTGAGAAGAACTGTCACGTTGCCGTTGGACTTGTAGAGCCCTCTCGCACGGTGTTGAAGCTATCGTATCATCTGAATGGTCGAACACCCTAAAAATACGACTGTCAATGAACAAATCGCTGATTTCCTCTTATCCTTTCGTTCCCCGTGCTCCTCCAGCCCTGTCCCCGTGATCAAGCATCACGTTACCTCCGTCCTCAAACCAGTTCGTCCAGGCGGCCGGCGGTTTGCACCCGAGATCCCCTCTCTGACCATGATGAGGTGCAGAATGTAGTTGTGCAGCAAGATCGCGTGTTCTTCGTGATCGCCCGCTAAAATATCCTGCGGAAACAACGGCGAACCGAAGCGTATGTCAATGCCAGACTGTGAGCCACCTTTCAGAAATCAGCGTTCAGCTTGGCAGCTTTTTTTGTTTGACCGCGGCCCGGCACCCCATACTTCGATCCCCGTCAACGGTGAGGTGTATTTGGTGTTGTTTGTTCTTATGCGTGACTGAAGGAAACGGCGAACGTCAGGACGAGGTCGTACCATCTACTG